TATTAGATATATATTTTTTATAAATATTGTATTTTATTTTATTTTATTTGAGTCTTGTATAAAATTTTGTGTAAATTTAATTAAAAATAATATAATTAATGAGACTTAAAATATATTCTAAATTTATAAATTAGAAAATTTTTATTTTATTTTAACTATGTTTTGACTAGTTTTCTTATAATTATTGATAAATGAATAGCTCTATTAATAAAAACTCAATCGAGATGATATTTACTAATTTAAAATTTTTATATTTGAAATTAAGGTATGCTACCGAGCAACTAATCTTCTAATGTATCAAAAAAATGAAGGAACAACTCTCAATTGGGTATTTCAAATGGTTAAGAGCTTAATACTTTAAGTAGAAGTTCAAGTGGGTTGGAATTAAAAGAAGGAAGAGTTATCCTTTATTGTAAAACTTATATTTTAATGTTAAAAGAAAATTGATTGAGGAAAAAGCCTCTTGATAACTCAAGTTCAAATCTAAAATAGGTGGGAAGGAGTTTGAGAAGGAAAAAGTTACCTTAGTATATAATCTTTCATCTAGTATTAAAAAAAAAAAAAAAAAAACCTGGTTTGCACGCCTTCCTAAGCCCATGAGGAAGTTGTCTGGCTTGATATCTCGATGTAGAAATGATTTGGAATGAACAAATTCAACTCTATTTATCTGATAGGTAAACCATGATTTTCAGGAAATAAAAACAAAACCAAAAATTATATAGTATCAGAAAAATGAGTCATGAGAAAAACCCTACCATCTGATCAGCAAGCATAAGGACAGTCTTCAGAGACAGTTTCCTACTGCAGAAGTTGAACAAATCCTCAAGGCTAGGCCCAAGCAAATCCATAACAAGGACATTATAGTCCCCTTCAACACCAAACCACTTCACATTGGGGATTCCAGCTGCCAAAGATTGACAATAGCAGCATTCATTGTTGATTGCATCAAAGCAAAATCCCTCCCTCCTTAAAACCCATTCTTAGGGGAAAAATATACTTACTTCCTCCTTGTAATATCTTATATAATTTTGATTCATACAGCAACTGCGGATGCTTTGTCTTCACATTTTCCTGAGAAAAAGATATGTTTTCAGAGCCTACGCATTATGCAATGTTTAATATTATCAACTGCACAATCCAAGCTGTTTATGAGGAACATAATTCAGATACAAAACTCCACAAAGCCACAGATATCAGGGTGAATGAGAAAGTTAAATTTGGATGGATGGTTAAACTACAACACTTTCAGTAAAGAACAAACAACAAGTTGATGAAGTTAACAAGACTAGTAGGATCAACTGACTCACACCATTCAGTCACTAACTAGTAGTTTAAATAACTGGTGTGTAAAACCAAGCCACTCAAATTCTCTCAATTCTGATTTGATACAATTTGGTTAGGAGAGACAGCCTCATAGGAAACCCATATTGGAAAACAGATCACATTAACTACTGATCTGGGACAGGGAAAACAATGGTTAGCCAATGAAATGCTGCAAAACCAAGCCTTCCTAGGAAACCCATATTGGAAGACATGTTGCCATTGCCAAAAATGCCAAGGTAAGTCATACATTTTAAAATTTATAACCTAGTCCTAGTAAAGAGGGAATATGTAAGTCAATAAGTTATAACCCCCGATTCATGATCTTGACATTCTTCAAGAAATGTACTTGAAGTCAAGTAACTACCACCCACCACCTCTAAAACTGCTCATCTTCTGCATGCTGTCATTGTGCTGTAATCTCAAGAAGATAAACCAAAAGATTGCCTCAGAAACAGTAAAAATCAGTACTAGGCTACCAGCTGTCACTCAATCCAGCCCAAAATGCATGAATTTGAGCTCATAAACACACTAATTAATCATTTTCCGGTGACAAACCACAGCAGATCATCACTAACTCATTCAAATTGCTACACACAATTGAACACCCTAAGCAGAAACAAGTCAACGAAATACTCACCAGCTTAATGGCAACCTCCTCGTTCGTCTGTATATTAGTACCTAAAAAAAAAAAAAAAAACCCCACAAAAATAAGCACAAAAACCTCATTTCAATTCAATTGAAGAAAATAGACACCAGGAAAGAGAGGAACAAACCCAGATAAATCTCTCCGAAGGATCCACTGCCGATCTTCCGACCAAGTCGATACTTATTTGCCACACGAGGCTCCATCACTGAAAAAAATATACAAACCCTAGATTTCTCTATTGCCTATCTGAATTAAAATTATATATAACTGCTTACAAAGAAGGTAAAAAAGAAAAAAAGAAAAGAAAAAGAGAAAGAGACAACCCTAAAGCGTTAGCAAACCAGGAAATTTGAGGAGGATGCTAGGAAAGGGTTCGATTAGGGTTTAGTGATTCAGCAGGAATCGACGGCGGGGAAGAAGGGAAGAATAAAGACGGGAGCTTTCTCTCTCTAGAAAGAAGGGAGAGATGAAGAGAGAGATGAAGAGAGAGAAATAGGGTGGGTAAAGAGGAGGCATTATTATTCTTTCGCTTCTCTCTATCTAACTATTGTACACGCTTTGAGTTGATCCAATCGACGCCCGCCCCACCCCTACCCCCACCCAAGACTATAGTTTCCGTTGAAGTCCCTTCGCTTTGACGAAGACGCCGTCGTTTGGTCAAATTATGATGGCTAAGTCCTTTACTGTAATTGTAATTTTATTTTTTTTATTATCTTAAAAATATATAAAATAAATTTAATATAAATATTTATTTTAATTAATTATTTTTACATTTTTAAAATATTAAAATTAAATATTAAAATACCAATAAATATTTTTGTAGCTTAGCCACGTCATCAATGTTGAGGTCATCCCATCTAATGGATACTTTTTTCTTTATTAAGGATTAATTTAATAATATTGACTTGTATCTATAATTATAAGTTTTTTAGTTATTAGATTCTTTAAAAACATATAAAAAATATTTTATATATTTAATATTTATTTTAATTAATATTTTATATATCTTTTTTAAAAAATAAAAAAACATAAAAATTAAAAGTTAAAATACCAAAAGTTATTGTCAAATGAAACCTAAATATGGTTTTGAATAAGTCTGATTTAGTTATTAGAAAATAATTGTTTCTTTAATATTTTAGGTAATATCTCTTTCAATTGATATTTATTAATATAAAAATAATATAATTATAACGCATTATGTTATAATATTGTATTATATTATAATTATACTTTTTTTTAAACAATTGGAAGGAATGGAAAATGAGATGCATTAAATTTAAACACTTATTCACTTAAACTACGGATCGTAATCATTGAGTTACAACGTGAAGTTCAGTTATTATATTATTTTTATTATAATTTAATAAAAACTATTCCATCTCATATAACTCCTTACATCTAACTTTATAATCCAAATATTTTTGCTCATTTGATTATCATTTATTAAAGGCTAATCGCTAATAGTTCTTCCTAATTAAACCAAACCAAACCAAACCAAACTTTATTCATCTTTGGAAAGACGAAAACGAGCATAAAGGAGAGATCAAAAGAAAAAAATTGTTAACATTAAACATTGCAAAACACATGGGCTCCCATAATATTTTATGAGAGCATATGAGTTTGTGTTTAATTGTTTGACCCAGCAACGTAAAATATTATTATTATTATTAAAATTATATCACATATACTCCATGTGTGGCACATGTTGAAGTTTGACTAATGTTTTTTTTAATTTAATAAGTAGGGTATTTTTTGATTTAATTTATGTTTGTTTTGAGGTTAATTCTTAATCTAATGGAAAACAATTTATTCACATTAAAACTAAAAATTTCATGAAAAATTAATTTTATATTAACCTCCCAATATATTCAAATATCTGTCAAATAGAACTATAGTTTTTTTTTTTTTTTCATTTTTCTTTGGCCTAAAGATAGAAGTATGTTTGTCCTACTCTTACTATAGAAATCCTGTTTTTCTAAGCACCCAAGCAAGGTTTCCAGTATTCCACAGAAACAAGCACAAGACAGAGGAAGTGTTTTTTTTTTTTTGAGTAGAGGAAGAGGAAGTGTTAAATGTTAACTCTATTTTCATAAGCTATGTACTCTCATATACTTCAAGTAGTGTACATACAACAACACCTAGGCTTCCCTATAAAGGAATGGGACTTTAGCCAACCTCTTAAAGAGATGGACAAATGAATATAAAAAGTGTTTTTTTTTTTTTTACAATGTAAAACTGCAGGTGGAGAAAGAAAAAATATTTACTAAAAATCTTTTAAAACAGGAAAGAAAATGAAATATTGGGCATTGTTATGAGGATGAGGGTGTGATATCATTCACATGCTCCACAGAAGGTTGTTTCCTTTGCAACCTCCCTCTCAACTGTCTGATCTTTGCATCCACGCGTGCTGTGAATCCAATATTGGTTTTCTGTCTTGCCTTGGATCGCTCCCTAGTCCACATCCGATGATCCTCAACATCTTTCCTGCAGTACTTGATTTCTTGGATTATGTGGTGATCCATGGGGTTGAAGCATCTTTGGAATGATATATGGGCCATGTAAGGAAGATTACAAGCAACTGTCACTAAGAGGATGGCCAACCAATAGATGGGTGCAGGAGCAAGGGCTTCGACGAGAAGCTGGTAGGCATTGCCAGAAATTGTGGGAGTAATCATGCCATAAACAAAGAGAAACAAATACCAAGTGACTATGCTGCCCCAGATTAAGAGGTGTTGGATCCATGTAAAATGGCTCATTGTGAGTGCAATCTGGCAGTTGAGGGCCCAAATGATGCAGGTGAACATTGCAGTGCCCAAGGCACCCATATCAGCAGTCTGGCCTCCATTGCGGAAGGCTTGATCATAGAAGATCATTATATTGAGGAAGAAAATAACGAGAGAGGAATAGAGACCATTTCCCATCCATCCAAATATCCTATACCAGTCAAAGAACAAATTCCTAGGTCCTTGCTGATACAATGTGGGGAACTGTAAAACAATGGGGCATGAATAAATATTGGAAACCAATTGAAACACGGATGAAATGTTTTGAAAGACCTGTTTTCATGCTTACCTGTAAGCAAACATCAGAAGAAACATCCTGTTCGAAAACTCCTAGTGAAATGACAGGGAATGAAGTAAGGACAACATTGAACAACAACATGTACCAGTCATCATAAACTGACTGCCCAGAGAAACCAGTGAATGCCTCAAAGTAGAAGAGAGTAAGACCAAATGCAATGTTCTTGTAGAAGAAATAGCATATCTGAATTCAACATGTCAAAGTTGAAATGGCAATAAATCAGATAACAGTCAAATCTAGATTGGCAGATACACAGGGAATGAGAAATGTCAGAAGATGAAACACTAATATTGATTTCCTTAATTATTACCATCTGGGCAATCCTCTTGTAGCACCAGTGTCCATGGACAACGAGAAGCCTTTCCAAAAATCGAAATTGGGCAAGAGAGAAGTCACTAGCCATCACAGCCTACAAAAATGTACCAATAGATTAAGCTTTCACTAACAGCACGAACAAGATATTTGTCAAAAAGAAAACAACTTTGCCTTGCAATGCAAAAATATACTGCTAATTTATATGTACCATAAAAATAGTTTGGTATATCAGAAAATTTTTGGATAAAAACCATCATCATCTGGAATTAGATCAGTCTGAACATTTTAGAATGTCACATTTTAGAATGTCATGGCTCAACAGATTTCATATTATGGTTGATAGAAGCTAGAAATACAGTCTCTCTGACAAGTATGGTAGTTTTAGCATCTGCCAACATCAAAACAGAAAAGCAGATGACTAAGATCCATGTAACTAAAAAACTTGACCCTGCACCCTTCCTCTAAGAAAGAGATATCAGAAACGCAAACAAGGAGGCAATGAACAATAGAGATGTGAGAGAGAATACTCTGTCAGAATTCTAGATCAACACCAGCTAGAGAAATTGTCTCACCCACTTCATTTTGATCGTCTCATCCCACACGGGAACAGATAAATATGAAGATCAAGGAAGATGATTCCATCTAAAGTCCAACTCAAGCCAAAAAAGTTATTAAACCATCCAACTGACTTGAATTTCTACCACCCATAAAATATGAAAAGCCCCCAACGCCAACAAATATCAATGAAAGATCCATTGTAGCTCTTAAAAGTTTTATTTGAGCTACAATGGGGATAAATGATACTGGAGCAGCATTTGAACAAAGAGGAGAAAATTAAAACACATCTACAGATGCATCATGCAGAAAGAGCTGGAAAAATGTGTTACTAACCTGCATACCTTCCACCCCACTGATGCCAACACCAATGTCAGCTTCTTGAATCATTCCAACATCATTTGCACCATCACCTATTGCTAAGGTGGTTTTCCCAGTTCCTTGTTTTACTAATCGTGTTACCTGGGTCCCAAAAAATTCATATAAACAGAAGACAGAATGAAAGCATGATGTCAAGACAATTGTAGGTTTTGATTGCAGAAGTTTACAAAAAGACAAATTTCCAAAGTTCTAGAATCAGGCAGAGGGAATGAAATATTACTAGTGCCTTCTGCTTGGGAGACACACGACAGCATATGACAGATGCACATTCAACAGCTAATTCTAAGAACTGCTGTTTTATATCATCCTCCAAAGCATATGTTAGACTTTTCCCATCAATTATCAACGCAAAGGCAGCATGTGGATCCTCTTCTAGTTGGATCATTTGTGAAGCATTAGTTATTTGATTCAGTATGTTCTCTTTGACAGCCTGATTGGTAACAAGAGCAAAGAAGTCTAACATCAAATGAAACCAATCCTGAAGAAAACTTCCCAGACTCTTTCACAAAGTTATATATATACCTCATTGGCCTCAGAATTCATTGCTGAAATACAGACTTGCTTCATGCCTTGTCTAAGCAGGCTGCATGCGAAGCTGAATCCAGAAAACAATTATATATATTTAAGTGGTCTAAAAAGGCATGTTTCAGTGATCAAATTTCAGATTAAAGCTTGTCAAAAAGAGTAATGTGCATTAAAGAGAGCCCTTGGATAAGTAAGATACCCTATGTTTATGGCAGTTTCCATCTTATCCCCTGTTAAAACCCAGATCTTGAGACCAGCTTGTGCGAGCTTATCTATGCATTGGGGTACCTGAGTGGAGCAATTAAATCGGTTATAAGCAAAGCGACAGAAAAGTTTTTTGAATCAAAGAAGGCAATGTTTGGCCCAAAAAAATAATAATAATAAAAGAAGTTAATGATACTACATACCCCTTTTTGCAATTTATCTTCCACAGCTGTAGCACCCACAAGGGTTAACTCCCTCTCCATTATATCTGACACTTGCTCAAGCATTTCATCTCTATCAGCTCCCACAGAAGTTTTTGCTTTGTGAAATTCATTGTTCCAAGCAGCATATTCAGACTCCTCAAGCTTTCTATAAGCGAGTGCCAAAGTTCTCAGCCCAGATTCTCCATATTCATTCAAATGCCTTGTTGTCGCTTCCTCATACATTCTTCCGTTCTTTGATAATCTATCAAAAATGATGCTGTACAACCCCACCAAAAAAGGGGTTACTATCAGTTATTCTGTAACTTATCAAACCACTGGTGTGGATCTGAGTAGGTTACCATATTCAACTGTTAATAACTGTAAAAGCAAGTTAAAAAGGTAGGAGTGAGACTGACCTGTCAGCACCCTTGCAGAGGAGAAGAATCTGTCCATCCTCATCGCGCACAATTACCGACATCCGCTTTCTTTTGCTCGTAAAATCCAACAGGTTGAGGATTTTGAACTCCCTGTTAAACTCCAAGTGATTTAGAAAGATGCAAAACGAAGGAAAAAAAAGCAAAAGGTGTATAACTACGGCAAGGAAGATTATCCATTTGTGTGGTGTCCACACCTTTCAATAGGTTGTCCTGATGAAGGATGTCTTTCACGGATAAACACGCTCGATTGTGTTCTTTTAAAGAACTCAAAACCAAATTCTCTGGCTGCAACAAGAAAAGCTCCTTCATCAGGTGACTCTGCTTCATAAGTAAAAGTGCCAGTCTCTTCATTCAGCTCAGGAATAGCAGTGTGGCAAACTGCCAATATGCGGAAAAATAACAGAATGACATCTGAATTTGGCTCATTAAACCAGTTTCCATCCATGAGGCGGCTGTCCTGGAAGCAAAATCCCTTTATGGTTGGCTTATGATCTTTTTCATATGTAGAGGTAACAACAGTCTCTAGTTCAATTTCTGATGCTCTATTTTTGCGCCTGGAAACACTAGACATTTCTGCATCCTGATCCTCAAAGTCCATAGCCATCTGTTTTGCTGCAGCAATTTCAACTTCACTGGATCGCACACCATAAGCAGTACCAGCAATTGAACACTTGAGAAAATCCATCTGATTACAGGTCAAAGTGCCAGTTTTATCTGAGAGGATTGTGTCTACTTGGCCCAATTCCTCATTTAAGTTTGATGTCCGTGCATTAGCAGGTTTTCCAGTTTCTTCATCATACATATGTATGTCTTGATTAATGAAACTTGCTTGCAAAACCTTCACCACCTCAATGGAAACATAAAGTGAGATAGGTATCAAATATCCATAAAGAATAAGAGCAGTGACCAGATGGGAAAGCCCTGATATTGCAGGTTTTTGGGGATTATAGTAATTATCTGTATCATTGGGTGCTAAGTACCACCAGTCTGGCATTTGCAGCTTTGTCTTCACAGCAAAGCCTATGGAGCTGATAAGTGAGATCACCAGAAGGAGGCTGAAAAGGATGTATATTATATAGTCCATTTTTCTTTCTATTCTGCTCCTTTTTGATGGAGACCTTGTTGAATTCTGCATGACCTTGCTATCATGACCCGTGAAAATCACCACACCATAGACAAAAGTTGTGTTCCTAAGTTTTGAATCTCTGAGGAGAATCTGACTAGGATCAAGGGGATAAAGTTGGCGATCATATTCAAAATTACCAACAAAGGTATATAGACTGGGGTTTGGGTCTTCGCATTTAATTGTTCCTGTGAAAGTCTTGAAAGCCCCATCCTCACCCAAAGGCAAGGTTACCTCCAAAGCTCTCTTCACCTTCAAGTTTGTTTCACCATCTAAGTTCATTGTCTCCACGTAGCAAATTCCATCCTCATAACCCGATGACAAGAGTAGTAAGTCTGCTGGGAAAAACTGATCCTTCTCCACTTTCACCACATCTCCAACCTGAATCTTCTGCCATGGCCTATAACCAAAAACACCATCTCCTTCATGAACACTAACTTTCCGGCTATTAACCTTCATGTCCTGCATAAACCTTCGCCAATCCTCTAAACCTTCCTTCGCCATACTAAGACCCACAACAAAGACCAAAGGGGCAATCATGCTCACAGCAGAGAATGGTGAAAGTGGTGTTACAGAAATAATTGCACACCCAAGGAAGTATAAATTGGCAACTCGATGAAATTGTTCATACAATGCCTTTGGCAAAAATGTGAGAACATTATACTTTGTGGTCGATGTATAATTTGAGCAATACTTGAAAGGTTTTTTCTTGTGCATTTCAGGCTGGTTGCAATGTACAATTCTTGAGTATCCAGGCCCGTCCATGGGATGTGGTCCATCTTCCTTAGATCTTGGCCTAAGACATGTGAATGTATAAAGATGGCTCCGGCGAATCCTCGCCCTTATTCGACCCCGTGCCATTTCTCACAATCAAAGCTCAAAGAGTTTTAACCAGCAAGCTGACTCACAAAATGGGAAGCACAATCTAGCCTTCAATGGAGGAGACCAGTTCACAGTCCCTTCTTAAAAGGCCTAATTAGATAAAAAGCAATACTAAAATTTAATTTAAGAAGATACATTGAAGAATTGCAGCATATACCATAAAAGAACCTTAAAATTAAAAAAGTAAATTCCATAAAATTTGAAAATTCAGCTTCAAAATCAAAACACCTCATTCTAGAAAGGGAACAAATTGATTGCAGCTTTTCCATAACCAGATTTGAAGAGTCTATGAACTGTAATAGTCAATGAATTAAATAAAAAAATCTAAAGAGAGAAGGGAACAAATCTACATTGATAATAGCGTACAAAATTTTCAAAAGATCCTTCAAGAAAAAGGAAAATTCTCTTTACCTTATTCAGCATAAAAGGAAATTCAAAGAACAAAACACAAACACACAAAAAAGAAATATTATCAAATTCCAGGGCTGAAATCCCATTTCAGAATTGCACATTTCATCACAATAAAGAGAAGAATGAGGCAATGCCCAGCTAAAACTTTGAATTTTCAAACAAAAGAACGGATACCTCGTACTAGAACACTTATTTGATAAAAAAAAACGAAACCCAGAAACTCAAGGATTGAAATTAACAAAATGAAAAGTGGAATCAACCCAGAAACTCAAAATTTGAAATTGAATGGAGCTCAGAAAAATCAGGGAAAAAAAAAAAAAGAAAAACAAAATGGGTACCTG